AGAGCTTTTTCTTCTTGGTTTGAACATAATCATTCATTTCGCACGTGGTACTTTGGCAACTGATTTTTCTCTTCAAGTAGACTACTATCACATTTCCTGGTAGAATCATATTTTCTTGGTTCTTTCTTTCAAGGTGAAGCTCATGCCCTCGCTCCCTCACACTAGCAGGTTTAATGAGCATACTTTCTGTGCCACTGTCCATGTCACTAATGAATATATGCTGAGCGCTAACCACAGGAAGGCATCCTGGAAATATTTTTTTTTTAAAGATATCCATATTGGTCAGCAAGGCACAAAACAATTTATCACCTCGAGCCAGACATATCCTTCTCACTGGGTTTCCTGTATCATTTTGGCTTATTACTTTAGTTCTTCCGCCATGGATGACATACTTACTGGTCCTAATTTTCCTTATCTTTAATGTGGAGGGACTGCAAACATAGACTAATAGTTAGCATTTATTGATCCCTTTCTCTATGTGAGGCACTGTGCTAATCACTTATAACACCTCATTTCAGCTTCCTAACAATAAAAAGTAGATATTTATTGTCATTCCCATTTTACAGAAAAAGAAAGTGACCCTTAGCATGGTCAAGCAACTTTCCCAGGATAACATGGCTACTGGACAATGGAGCCAGATTTTGGCCTGACCTCCCACACCCTTAACCACTCTGCCACGGGAGCAGGAAAATGGGTACTCCACTCACATGCTGTGCTCTAAGCATATCAATTGGTAGACTTTCTGGAAGGTAAGAAAAGAATCCAGAAAGAATTCTTTAAAAGGTGCACATACTTTTCTCCGGTATTTATTTTATAATATTATGTGCCAGGCACTGCCCTAAGCATTTTTCAAATATTAAAAATAAACCTTTATGGCAACATTATATTGATATTATCTCTATTTTACAAAAAAGAAAATTGAGGCACTTAGAAACTAAACAATTTTCCTAAAGTTTCACAATTCATAAGATGTGAAGCTGAGTTGTGGCTGCTAAATCATATATTAATATATTGACCGGAAAAGACAGTAAATGAAATAATATTATGGTGTATCTAATTTTTATTTAAAAATAGAAATTTATGGGACTTCCCTGGTGGCACAGTGGCTAAGAATCTGCCTGCCAATGCAGGGGACATGGGTTCAAGCCCTGGTCCGGGAAGATCCCACATGCTGCGGAGCAGCTAAACCCGCGAGCCACAGCTACTGAAGCCCGTGCGCCTAGAGCCCGTGCTCTGCTACAAGAGAAGCCACCACAATGAGAAGCCCGTGCACCGCAACGAAGAGTAACCCCTGCTCACCGCAAGTAGAGAAAGCCCATGTGCAGCAACGAAGACCCAACGCAGCCAAAACTAAATAAAAAACTAAGTAAATTACAAAAAACAATAGAAATTTATGTATGAACACACAGAAACTAGGAGAATATAAGAACAACAAAATTAAACAGTGATGGGGTTATGGATGGGTGATTTTTTTTCTTGAATATATCTGTATTTTTCTTTTTTTTTTTACAGTGAAAGTATATTTCTTTTCTAAATAGCAATTCTTCATTTAAAAGTAACCTAAAGAGATTGTAGTAAGGTTTCTCTGGGGTCTTTTTGACAGTGGGATGGTGGTTACCTTATATAAGTTTATAGGAACAGCCATGCTTGGAACCAACTTTAACTGGAAATTTATCTCCCTGGCCCATCCTTTATAAATATCAGCCTAGCAAGCAAGGAGGATTACTTGATTTACTTTAATGAAGTTATGTGATCTACTGAACAACCCCAATTTATGAATTTGGAAAACCTCATCCTAGATCCATCAATATGACAAGTCTTTTTGAGCCTCTCACTGTTGTGGCCTCTCCCGTTGCGGAGCGCAGGCTCAGCGGCCATGGCTCATGGGCCCAGCCGCTCTGCGGCATGTGGGATCTTCCTGGACCAGGGCACGAACCCGTGTCCCCTGCATCGGCAGGCGGACTCTCAACCACTGCGCCACCAGGGAAGCCCAATATGGCAAGTCTTTTAACTCCTCTTGCTATGTCTCTGGGTTATGTTGAAGGTGTTTGTGGTTCTAGAATAGAGTAATGCTTAAGAGCCAGGTTCCAGGGATCAGGCTTTTATAGGTTCCATTCCTAAATCCACCACTTATTTTAGCTGTGTGAACTTGAACTCTCTCGGCTTCACGGGGATACTAACAGCATTAAGCATTAAGCCCTATGGCTTTTGAGAGAATTAATTAAGATAATAAATGTAAAACACCACTATGTCAGGTACACAGTAGTTAGTCAGTAAAGGGTAGCTGTTTTATTATTACTGTTTATTATTGTTTAATGTTCATTTTAAAAGTACAGTTGAATTCTCTAGTAAAAGTTACTGTGCACTTTCTTCAGGTATGCTCACCTGAAGAATTTAAATTTTTCTTTCATAAGGAGATGAGGAAAAGGGCATCGCTTATGATCTGATCTATTTAAACTTGTTAAACCTCAATATTTTAAATGATCCCTATGGTTTTCTAAGATCAGTTTTCCTTTTTTAAAATTTTATTTATTTATTTGGCTGCATTGGGTCTTTTTGTTGCTGCATGCGGGCTTTCTCTGGTCGCGGCGAGTGGGAGCTACTCTTCGTTGTGGTGCGCAGGCTTCTCATTGCGGTGGCTTCTCTTGTTGCAGAGCACGGGCGCTAGGCACGCAGGCACATGGGCTTAGTTGCCCCGCCTCATGTGGGATCTTCCCGGACCAGGGATGGAACCTGTGTCCCCTGCACTGGCAGGTGTATTCTTTTTTTTTTTTTTTTTTTTGGCAGGCGGATTCTTAACGACTGTGCCACCAGGGAAGTCCCTAAGATCAGTTTTCATAATCAGTGTGATTACTATACCTATATTGATTAATAATGATTGTATGAACTGTTCAGAGTTCATAGTCAATCTATACTTGTTTTGGCTATGCCACAGACTGTTTGTTTTTGCATATAGAATTTTGCATATAGTCTCAAATTAAGCTGTGGACCCTCATACACCCTAATGCTCATCAGACACCCATGCTATATGGTTTGAATATTGCCAGTTTCCATGGGAAAGGAACATCAGATTAAATTCTGTGTGTTATGGACAAGAAAAATATCAATGAAATAGCTTTATCCTATAGCACTGTATGGCCATTTCCAAGAGAGACTCCTTCCATGTTTCCATGCCAGTGTAGGGAGGAATGAATGAGTGCACACACGTGTGTATACACACACACACGCACACACTAAACTTCTTTTTAATAAAATAAATTAAGAGAGTAGTATTTACATCCTTCTAGCACTGTTTCCTCTGAATTCTGAAGAAACAGCTTGGGGAAAACCCTTGCTGTCTTTTGCCAATAGAGTTGTTACACTAAAGTCTGAACCGGCTTTTCAGCTGGATTTGGTCATGTGAGTCAAAGCAGAGCTTGTGCTGTTATATGTGTCCCTGCCTCTCTCCACTTCCCCACATTAGTTGAGCCTCACTGCTCTTCCCCATAATCCTCCCAGCCCCACTCTCCAGGTTTGCTGAGCCTCACTGCTTCAACAAGTAATGCACTTCTGACACAATGGGGGACAGCAGGGGCAGTGTGGGGGAAATGAGATAATGCAGACACCAGCTTGACACACTTGCTTCCCTTTGAGTGCCACATTATAAACTGACCAAGTGAAACATGAAGGTATTATCCTGTCTTATCTAGTGGTTGAAAGGGGTGCAGCCTCCTTAATGGTAAGGTTTTGGGCTTGTTACCAAAGGATTCTCACTTTCGCTGCTTCCCATGTTCACCCAGAGTGCTCTCTCCTCCCCTCTGTTAGCTGTTTTGACTTGAACATGCTCCCGGATGAGAGATGATAACCTGTCAGGACCAGGTGTTGTCTCTGCCACACAAGTTTTATGAAGAACGGGTCAATTCCAAAGCCAATTTAGAAATGAGCACAACTGGAGGGAGAGTTTAGGGACTCCAGGATACCTTACAGATAACCTAGATTTCATAGAGTTTCCCGCACTCATGCACCTCCCCTGGACTGGCTTTAGTCTTCTCCCAGGGAAACCTGTCATTCTTGGATCACTATCTTCCTACCTCAGAGAAAAGCGTGTAAACACACACACACACACACACACACACACACACATTCTTCAGAGTGAGAATCTACATGAAATGGCTCCAGGGTTGGTTTTTCTCAGCAAGCTTCACAAGTGAATCTGATGCCTAATCTGTACTTTGAGAAAGAATGCCCACAGCATTCCTATAGTCCCATCTAGAGACAAACTCAAGGGCTAACTTTTTAAATGTATGAGCCATTCTGATACAGCAAAAACATGCTGAAACTCAAAGTTCCTCTTATTGCTGACAGTAATCAATAATAAAATGTATAGCACTACTTTTGGAAAAATGTCCAAAACAGGCACCTAGTTTTTATTAACTGTTATGAGTAAATGGCTTAATATGCCAAAAGCACAGCCTTCCGACAGCATAATTAATTTTACAAAGACCAGCACACAGAGCATCAACCAGTTGTTGTTTGTGTGACCCTGAAGAAAATTATTTAAGGTATCTGAAGTTTGGTCTCATTATGGGTAAAATGTGTTCTCTATCTCATAAAATTTTCGAAGGATTACAGATAAGTAAAGACCCTTGCTTAACACGCAGTTCGTGGAGAGGAGCCACCAATTCAGGGTGGCTCCCTTCCCTCTCCTGTTTCTGAGCCTTTCTTACAAACACCTAGACTTTGCTTTCCACCACGCCAGAGGCCTTAATTTACCTGTTCGTCCACGATGCTACATGGCCACTCTATTTAAGAGCTCAGGAAAGTAAGGCACACCATCCTCGGAAATCAAAGGCGTGTACAGGTAATATTTTATTAAACCACGTAGAAGCCTGATGTTGAAGGAGGCAAAGATTCTCATCTTCATTTTACAGGCACTTGAATTTTTTGAGGTTGTATGCTTCTAAGAAAACAACCAATCTGTGACCAAGATGTAATTAAGACCCACAATTTCTAATTCCCAGGCTTTGACTCCAACCTCTGAAAATGCTTCAATTCAATGAAGCTAATGGCACTTTGGTCTCCGGCATTAGATCCTGTTATCAATGACTTCCACATGGAAAGATCATTCCAAAATGTGTAATTAACCAAGAAAATGCAAATAAACCAATTTGTACCTGCTATTTAGAGGTAAGACACAGAAATGGCTTAAGTTCATTATTTGAAAACTAACCTTTTCTGCTTCAAATGTAGCTTATGTTCTCCACTTGTGCACATATTTTTCAAAAATTACATTTTCAGTGAAATATTGTAGATAATTTGTGATTCTATTACCAGTGCAGAACCTGAATGGAGAGAGAAATACATGTCATCAGACACAATGGGAAGAAAACCCTTCTTTGAACAACATTTAGCAATTCAAAGTAATAAACATTTTTAAAAATTCTGTGTACTAGGCACTGTGCTGAGTGGGGTATGAGACATGCTCCCAGTCTAGCCCAGTGGGAAACATGGTAACACTTGGCAAATGTTACTGAATGATTGAACCTAGTGGAATAAGTAAATACTTAACTATACCTTTGGAAAAAGCAGATGGTAATTGTATAATAAAGCAGATCTATAAGGTTACAGTCTAGAAAGGCTGCATAGAGGAAGAAATATTTAATGTGGACCTGAAGACTATTCCTTTCAAGCGACAGAGACTCAATTCAAAGTGGTTTAAGGGGAAAAAGGAGATTATGGTTTACCACTGTTAGAACAAGAGCTGGACCACCTTGACTCCCTTAGTCTCCCACCTCTCTTATCTGATTCTTTTTGCATGTTGGCCTCATTGTCTCCTACTACATGTGAGCTTTCTCCTTGTCATAGGGAACACGGTCACTGGCAGCTTTGGGCTAAACGTCATTCCAAAGTAATGATTCAGAAGGAAAGGGTGTCCCTTACCTACCTTCAACCTTGGAAGGACTCCAACTGGCCCAGCTGGGGTTACTTGCTCACCCTTGGATCAATCATTGGGGTCACAAGCATGATGATGTATACGGCCTAGGTCGGTGATTGGCAAGGCTTTCAGAAACGCATCATTGCAAATGGAGAGAAGCAGGTTCTCCTAGAAAGAGGAGTTCTGGGTAAACCAGAAGAATTAAATCCATTGAAGTCTAGAAAAACAAATTGGCTACCCCCATGCTAAGATGGAAACTAAAGTCATTCCAAGCAGAGAGTTTGAGCAAAATCAAGAAGAGGGAAAACTCAGTGCGTGTTGAGGGACTGGATGGTATTGGTGGTACACAGTGGGAAAGAATGGAAGGTTGCTGAGGTCAAATAGTGTGCATATTTGAAGCCCTGTAAAGAAGTTGGTGCTATGTTCTCTAAGCAGAGTATAGTTTTTTAAGGTTTTGAGAGTTACATAGTACATTCTACATTTTAGAAAAATAATCTTATCTCATGGAGGATATGCTGGATAGAAATACTGGAGACAAGGAGATTGGGTAGGGAAGGTATGGTGGGCATGTTGTTTTGTCTGAAAGTGTTCATTTCCTCGTGAGAACTTCCTCTCCACTCTGGGCAGTCTTGGTGGGACTGTCAATCAGTGTCCCACAGAACCACAAGGTTGGGTCAATTTTAGTGCTGCATTTCCTGGGACGCACAATTGGTTCATGGATAAGCATGTGATTCAAGCAGAGCCAATGGATCCTTTCAGTAAACATAGTCTAAAGATGTAGGCTGAGAGTTCCCAACAGCCATCCTGCCATTACACAGAAAGAGTCTGTGTAAAACATATGAGAAAAAACAGAGGTGAAAGGGAAAAAAGAGCTCTACAACATTGTGTCAGCCCTGGGTGACAGTGTCCTGAAATTCCCAGTTACATGTGTCAATATCATTCTTCTTTTATTTGTCTCTTAATTGCATTTATTTCACACTACAACTGCATACAAAAGGTACCTGTCATTTATTAAACAGCTATTACATACTAGGCATGGTACTGGGTACTTTATGTACATTATAATATTAAATCTTTACAGTAACCCTGAAAGTAAATATTATGATTCCTCATTTTAAAGAGGGAAAAATCATGACCCAAATAAATTAAGTAACTTCAAAAAATTTATTTAAATATTAAGAGTTGGAAATGATATTCTAAAGGTTTGTTCAACTCCAAAGCCTATATTCTTTTTACTTTACCATATCTATGCTACATTGCTCTGTAGCTTTAGAGAGCAATATTCTCAATAAGAAATAATAAAAGCATGAACTAAGGCAATAGCAGCAAGAATAGGAGGAAAAAGCAGATTCAAGAGACATTCAAGAAAGGGAAAAAATAGTTCCTACTGATTTTTTTTTTCAAAGAATTTTATATGTTGAGGAACAGTAAGAAATCTAAGGAGATTCTGAAATCCAGTTAATCTAAGTACATATACGAGTAAAGGCTGATTGGAAGGGAACAAATCATGTTTCATTTAAAGTGTGTGTGTATGGGAACATATGTATATGTATAACTGATTCACTTTGTTATAAAGCAGAAACTAACACACCATTGTAAAGCAATTATACCCCAATAAAGATGTTTAAAAAAAAATAAAATAAAATAAAAATAAAAAATAAATAAAAAATAAATAAATAAAGTGTGTGTTGACTGTTGGTGGAAACATAAACTGGTGCAGCCACTGTGGAAAACAGTATGGCGGTTTCTCAGAAAACTAAAAATAGAACTACCACATGACCAAGCAATTCCACTCCTGGGTATATATCTGAAAAAAAACGAAAACACTAATTCGAAGAGATACATGCACCCCAATGTTCATAGCAGCACTATTCACAATAGTCAAGATATGGAAGCAACCAAAGTGACCATCAACAGATGAATAGATAAAGAAGATGTGGTGTATATATATACAAATGGAATACTATTCTGCCATAAAAGAAGAAATTTTGCCATTTGCAGCAACATGGAAGGACTTGGAGTTATTAAGTGAAATAATCAGACAGAGAAAGACAAATACTGTAGGATATCACTTATATGTGAAATCTAAAAAATACAACAAACCAGTGGATATAACAAAAAAGAAGCAGACTCACAGATATAGAGAAAAAACTAGTGTCTACCCATGGGGAGAGGGAAGTGGGGAGGGGCAATAGAGTGGTAGGAGATAAAGAGGTACAAACTATTATGTATAAACTAAGCTACAAGGTTATATTGCACGGCACAGGGAATATAGCCAATATTTTATAATAACTATAAATGGAGCGTGACCTTTAAATATTGTGAATCACTATATTGTACACCTGTAACTTATATAATATTGTACATCAACTATAATTCAATTAAACAATAATTTAAAAATAAAATTAAGTGTGTGCTGAATATCCAAGTGGAGCCATCCAGTGAGTTAAGAATATAGTTCTGGTGATCCAATAGATATATAGGCTTGAGACTAATATATCTATACCAGTGTTTGCCTCTGGAGTGGATAAGACTATTGGCAGATAGCCCATAAAGTGAGAAATAAAAGATAGCAGAAGGTGAACCCTCTAGATTTGACAACATCAGCATTTAAAGAGTAGGGCTTTGTTCCTGCTACCTCCCTCTGGAGTGCTCTTCTCCTTTGTGTACCTTGTGTATGTACAGTCATCTGTAACAACATTACACAATCATAATACCTCTTCGAGGTTTGGTTGGCTCTTCCATTCTTCATCCTCTAACAGAGAGATGTTGTTATGTTCATGAGTTTGTTATATTTTTTGGATTCCACATATAAGTGATATCGTACAGTATTTGTCTTTCTCTGTCTGACTTATTTCTTGGTGGAAGTATATAAGTCAAACATTTGATCATGTATTGTCTAATTTACTCTCCACTGACCATATAACAAAATGATAAGATCATTTCATACTAGAGCTCTTTCACTGTCTCCACTTTTGTTAGGCTGTGGTAAATGCTCTATGTTCAGTTGGTGTGAAGAGACACTAAGTACTTGTTTTTTATGGCAGGTATATCTACTGCTGCTTTTCAAGTGAATAACAAAACCCATTTTCCCATAACTCAAATATCTGTTATGTACTCCTGATTTAAAGACATTTTTTCTGAAATGTTTCTGCTTTCTGGGAACACTCAAACACAATGTTCCCGGAACACAGGGAACACTCAAAATATTGTTATAAAGTATAAGGTCAATTTGGCATTATCTATTAAGAGACTTCAAGATGTGAGTAACTTTTGATTAAGCAATTCCACTTCTAGGAAGGTATCCTAAAAAACAATCAAAGGCTAATATTACATTTAAAAATGTTCATTGCCACAGCATTTATTATGGTGAAAAAAAACCCCTAATGTTCTTCAATAGGGAAATGGTTCAAAAATTATAGTACAGTGGATTATTGTCCTGTCAGTACAATCACATTTTTAAAGATTATATGATGACACAAGACAAATGTATACAACAAAATGTTAAATAAAAAATTGGGACACAATTACACATATAATATGAAGCCAATTTTGTGACATGTACACATAAGAAGATTGTAAAGAAATACAGATACTTCATGCTATAAAAATTCAGTTCCTGAATTCAGATAATAAGCTTTCAGACAGTTAGAAATATCCGTATATTAGAGTAGCAACTATCTCTAAGTGAGAAATGACATTATTTTCTTCATCTACTTTTGCAGATTATGCACATTTACTAAATTAAAATGCTTTCTTGGGCTTCCCTAGTGGCGCCGTGGTTGAGGGTCTGCCTGCCGATTCAGGGGACACGGGTTCGTGCCCCGGTCCGGGATGATCCCACATGCCGCGGAGCGGCTGGGCCCGTGAGCCACGGCTACTGAGCCTGTGCGTCCAGAGCCTGTGCTCCGCAACGGGAGAGGCCACAACAGTGAGAGGCCCACGTACAGAAAAAAACAAAAAAAAAAGATTTCTTTATAGCTAAAAAGTTATTATGATACAAACATTTCTATTTTTACAATAAGAAGAGATTAAAAGCATTTTTCTTCTAACCTCAGCTTTTAGAAGGTCACTGCATCCCTGTGACTCTATATCATTTCAAATCTAAGTTAAGGTACTTTTTCTTCTTTGCTGTCAGGTAGTTAAAGAAATAACCTAAACCAAATATAACTAAGTAAAGTAGCCTACCGATGCCCCAGCCACATGAGTCATCTACAGTCATCTCTCTTCCCAGTCCACACAAGTCTTCCATCCCTAAGAACTGTATATGCTGCCTCCTTAGTGTTCTTCAAACTGTCCACTTGTTTTCATCTCCACCACTACTATGTTCAGTTCACCACCATTTTTCTCCTAGATTATTTCACAGCCTTTTAACTTGTCTGACAAAGTAAAATCCTTCAGAGGCTTCCCATACCCACTGTTCAGGGGATAAAGTCTCAACTCTTTAACACAGTTCAGGACAGCCTCATCTTCTGGTGTCTATTTAATTCTCCAGCCTTATATCTTCTAGCCTCCTTGTCACACTCTATGCCCCGGCACATGCAAACAGTAGCACCAGAATCCCTAGAACATGTCATGTCCTCATTCAACTCTTGGTCTTTGTACATTCTAGTCTCTATGCTTAAAATGTTTTTTCTTTCTCCCTTTCCCATCGTGCTTAACAATAGCTGACATCTGGTTATATCCTCCAGGTCGTAGTTGAGATAGTTCTTTCTATCAGGAGGCTTTCCTTGACCTCTTGGTCTGTGTAATATGCCCTTCCACTTGCATCCATGGCATCCTGTTATAAGCACTTTTGTGTATTATGCTATCAGAAAATATGCTACAATAATATGTGGTATGGAATATAGTATAATGTATTTTATTGTAACTATTTTTTCTTTGTATGTTTGTTAACTTGTTCATAATTGTTTATTTGTTTGTTATTTGGTTCTCCCTGACTAGACTCCTTGAGGAGAAGTGCTCTACTTATTTACTTTGACAGTCTCAATGCCTAGCACAGTGCCTGATATATACTAGGGGCTCAATCATATCATTACATGATTAAATGGACAAATGAATGAGAACATCTCAAAGCCAGATAAAAATGGCTCTTAGGTTACCAACTAGACCCTGAGTTAACGCAGATGGAAAGCAGCCACTATTCCACTATCAGCATGGATGGACGAGCACACTCTTTTTAAATAAGACATAGTGAATAACATGGAAAGCAGAGGTTTGTTTAAGAAATGAAATAAATGAATGTTAACTGATCAAAAATGTCTAGCTAGCTTTAAATATATCACTCGTTTTTAATTAAACTGAATACCTTTATTTTATCTTTACCAGAATTTGATGTCATCGAGGATTTTTTTCCCTTGTGATTTCTTTAAACTTGTTCAATGTCTTTTCATTGTAATGAAGGGAAAAGGAGATGTAATACTCCATTGCTGCAACCCCCCACAAAGAACATTCTACACAAGTGACCCTTGTTATGTATTTTGGAAAATGGGGGTCTGGGCCAAGAGACTTTGGGAAACACTGTTTATTATTTCCTGCTCTTAGAAAGGTACAACAGAGATGACATATACTAAAGGCTGAGAAAAATTTGTTAGCTTAACTTTTTTTGAAGCCTGAATTATCAAACCTGTTCAAGCTTGTAGCCCAACTGAAACATTTTAGAAAATGCTGATATATGGATAGATGATGGGATTCAAGGTCAGGAGACCAGGCTCCAGTTCTATCTGTACCAGTTCTTACAACTCACTTCAGTGCCAGAGCCTCAGTTCCCTGACTTGTAAAATGAGGAAGTTGGTCTAGATAGTGTCAAAGATTCCTTTCACACCTAAAATTCTATTTCAATCATGTCAAATAACTTGTCTTTCTACTTTGCATAAGAGATACTTAAGAAAAATATATATGTCAAGGATTATTTAATGTAATCATAGAGAACTAAATTTTTATTACACTTAACATTCTGCTTTTTAATTTTACATCATCATCTAGACCTCTAGATGGACATTCAGATAACTGAAACCTATTTGATCCTCACTCATGAAAATAAAAAATAGTGAATTTGGCCCTCTCTGCAATGGTCCTCTTAAATACATAGTGCCATTTTCTTCTTTTCCCTCCTGATAAGTAACTGAAATAAAACTAATGGATATACAAGTACAAAGATCATAAGGTTGGGACCTCTGAGTCTGACAAAAAGCCGATTCTACATCTGCAGCATGCTGTAGACACATCTGGCTTACTTTAGCTCACAATGGAGTAATATGAATTGTGATAAAAACCACTATTTGTGCAAATGCAAATAATATTCCATCTGCTCAGGACTTTTTTTTCCCTTATATAGCTTTTGTTCCAGTGTGGTAAAAGCCTGTTTCTTTACCCTGAAGTGCTCCTGCTGATGAAGAGTGAAGCACATGACAATGAACTAAAATCCATTATCAAACAAATACAGTGAGCTTTTCAGCAAGTCATCACAGGGAATGTTGCCTTTTTCTCTGGCATTAAGTTGAAAGCGATTTGTGCTCATGCAAATAAGACAAAGTGGTGGGCTTTTTAAATTTATATA